GTTGTGGTTGCAACCAAATGTTGACTGACAGTTTGTTGCAAAAGGAGTGTGTGTAGGAAAACCAGGTAGCAGAAAAATATATGTAGTGTAAGAGTGGTATATATAAAGAGTGCTTATATCCTTATATATTGCAGATTTGCTGCTGACGGACTACCCTTCCCCCTATCCAAAATGTGCTCCTTATAAGAAAAATAATATACTTGTGACAACCAGACAATGATCTGTAGAAAGCAAGATACTGCAGTTCATGTAGCTGATCTCTCTCCTTTTTTTAAGGATGACATTCTTTATTTTGGGACATAATTTGTATTAAATACACTTTAGTACAAGAGACTTTCCATGTCGGATTAAGAGAAGCTGATCACATGACTCATCATCAACAAAACTTCTAAGACTGCTTCTCGGGCTTTACTTTAATTTCAGCCAAGATGCCACAGGTCTTTAATTTCATTTCATTTTTTTAAAGCAATGAATGTTGATACCAAAGTGCAAAACAAGAACTACTAAATATCTTTACGGAGACATCACATTCAACTAAAAATTGAACAGGTTTAAAGGAATTCTAAACACCAGGTCACAGCTTGAGTGACATTATAGCTATTTTTATTGATGTCTAGATCTTTCTCTTGTTTATCACACACCAAAACAGGAGAAGCACAGAGAAAAATCTAGAGCCATTAACTATATACATATATCTATGTAGGTACTAAGCAGCTCCATGGCACTGGGATGAACAGTTTTGAAATTAAACTTATTTATGATGCAAACAGTATGTTGGGCTGACTTGCTGATTTACAAAGCATTCTCAGCTGTTTATTCAACATGTAAGTATTCTTTTAAAATTACAGAAATATGTTTTTAAAAGCTGCACGTAGGTCTACGAAAAGGTTGGATTTTGTCTGTCTTCCTGTCGCACCCTCTCTGTGTGAACAGTTTCTCAGATGTTCTTGCTTAGATTTAGCCAATTATCATTCAATATTTTTCTAGCAGGCAACATACGTAGCAGTGAAACCATAACCTGGCTTTGAATGCATAGACAGTAAACATAACATATGACGATCCCAGTTCCGCTCCTGAGACATATGTTCAAAAGATGGCAAACTAGTCACTTGGTTGTTTGTATGAAATTCACAGTGTTTCCCCTACAACATACTTTTTTTTTGCTTCATATTTGCAATGAATGCAAAACATTAAAATAAAGGATTTTATTTCAGGATACCTTATCCTGCTGCAAATATCCTGAGAAGAAACTTCTCTTTGTGGCCATCAAGTGGGAATCCAGATATCTGCAGCCCGGATAGTATGTGCCTAGTATTAACCATGGCTATATATGGGTCTCTTGAATTAGAACAGCTGTCTCTCTGGCCTGAAGAAAATGCTCCTGTGTGTGCCATCAAAAGTTTCATTTAGCTAGAAAGCCCCAACTCATGCATATTTTTCAAAGTGGCACTCACAGTTCATTCATAGGTTGCACCAAATCGAAGATGGTCTTCTTAATAAATGAAGATAATTGGATACTCTTCTGAGTTAATCAGAATTAAATGATAAATGTCAAAACACAACTGAAGAAGATATATATAGTATAAACATACATTTACTCACATAGACATTCATTCATTCATTCATTCATTCATTCATTCATTCATTCATTCATTCATTCATTCATTCTATGGCGTACAGGACCTAGAGGAGGAAAGGACAAGGAAAGCTTTACTGGCTATCTTAATGTCTCTTGCTTTTGCCAGGTTGTAGATCAGAAGGATGAACTAGCTTCCTAGCTACTCATCTTGCTGAGGCAACAGCTCAAATTTGCAGCTCAGCCCAGGAGTTAAAAATTATAGGATGGGAAGGAACCAGGTTGCCACCTAATTATCTATCCTCTCAATGCAGGATCTGCAATGCAAGATGCAACTACATGGTGAAGGAATGAAGAGAAACAAAAATAATGAAAGAAAATTAAGTCAAATTGCTGAGGAAGTAGGAAGGGGAGATCAAGGACCTTGACTCACATGGCTCCTAAGTGACAACCACTTGTAAACAATGTCCAGATTGTAAGAACACCAACATCCTCATGCCACAGCAGGAAATTTTAGTCACTAGCATTTTCATAGCAATCTAAAGAGTTTCCTAAAATATATTTGTGGACATCCTTCTCTTCCCCAAAAAGTCAAGAGTTATGAGAGGAGATATTTAAAGCAGGTCATTTCATTTCAGTTTTCTCAGGATTATTCAGGTTTTTTTTTTTTTAAACCTAGACAGCTGTTTGAAGAAAGTCTTTTGATAAGTTCTTTTCAAATGCTGCTGGCCATTTTACTTTTGATGAGATTTACTCTCCTTATATATAGCTGCTCTTAATTGAAATGTAGTATGAAAGCAGCTGCACTTAAGGCTTACAACTCAATTAAAAACAAGGCATATGAATTTGAAAAGCTCTGGCTAAAAGAAATCCATGAGTTGTTCAAAAGACCTGGGTGAGTAATAAGGTCTCCATGTATTACTGGAAAGCCCATATAAATCATGCCAGAGAGTAAAACCATCCCAAAGGTTTACACACGAATGTTCAACCTCCTCAACTTTATTTGACCAGGACATTCTGAAAAAGAGTGACAAGCTCTTGCTGACATAGGCCATAGTGTTTAACCGTATATTATTTTCTTTTAAGAATGCAGTAATAGAAGTATCCCTCAACTGACCACCACAATTCAGCCCAAAATTTCTGTCGCTAAGTGAGACATTTGTTAAGTGAATTTTGTCTCCTTTTACAACCTTTCTTGCCAGAGGTGTTAAGCGAGTCGCTATAGTTGTTAAATTAGTAACACGATTATTAAGTGAATATGGCTTCCCCATTGACTTTGCTTATTGAAAGGTTGCAAAAGGGGATCATGGGACCCCAGGACACTGCAACTATCATAAATATGAGTCAGTTGCCAAGCGACCAAATTTTGATCAAAAATGGTCATAAGTTACTTTTTTCAGTGCCGTTTTAACTTTGAATGGTCACTAAATGAATTGTTGTAAGTTGAGGGCTACCTGTCCCCCATGTATACTCTTCTATATAACCAATGTGGCTAAAAACAGTCCAATGCTGTTTGTAATCACAAAGAACTGCTACGTAAGCTTTAGATCATTTGGGAAAGGGGAAATGTTTCCCCATTTAGTCCAACAAATGCAGAGGTTTAAAACTTCAATTGTTCCAATAGCTTGGGGAAATCTTTGAATCAATCAGGCAACTCCAGGGAGTGCATATTTATATGCATGGTAAACAGCTATATCTGAGTTTTCATACTATCTAGTTGGGTATTTGCTTAAATTGTTTCTAGGGGGGGGAATCAAACTCATTGGCGAATGATTTGGGAACAAATATTTATCTCACTCTGTCAAACCCAACCCATTTCCCTCATATTGCATGGCAATTCTGCATGATTCCAACCAGAAACAGGAGTGTTCATTAAATAATAACTGGAAGTGACCTTGACAGTGATGGAGCAATCCTATGCATGTCTATCGTGAAAAAAATCTTTCCAGTATTTTTTTTAAATAAATCTGTACAGGAGTATAGCTGTAGCAAATCTACCTCTTAGTCCTAAAGTCAGCAACTAAAATCATTTTGAAATAAATAAATAGATTGGAGGAAAACAATGAGGGATTTTGGGGGTTGAGCAAATAATCTATTTTTAAGAATTTCCTCTATTATGTAGATCTGTATGGAAGTTTAAAACTGACCTACCAAATATAGAAAAAACATACATTCATTTTTTTTAGAAATGGAAATTTTGGTTACTTAGCATACTCAGCCTATTCATATTACTGTCTTCTATACATTACCATTACAAATTGTACGTGTAATTTACACACGCTTATACATATACACAATCACCAAAGTCTGCATATGTATAGATCAAATATTTATAAGACACATATTCAGGTATGTCTCTGTTGTTGATATATACAGAGTTTATGTAAACACACACACACACATATTTATATATATTAGTGTATGTGTGTCTTTATACACTTATATTTGCAGCATAGGGAAGAAAGACATTCTCCTTAATAAGCGTGATTGTCACATTTGCTCAATGTAGAATGTTAGCTGACACTTTTAAGCATGACAAATATATGCTATACACAATATTTATTAAAACCTTTCTTTCCTCTGGGTATGTACATGTGTGTGCATGTATATCTCCATACATATGTATACACACAGTGAATATATATATATATATATATATATATATATATATATATATATATATATATAT